AACCCCTTGACACTGAGTGGATTCTGACTCATAGCAAGCCTATAGGGCAGAGTAGAACTGCCCCATAGGATTTCCAAGAGCAGATGGTGGATTCGAACTGCCAACCTTTTGGTTAGCAGCTGACCACTTAACCACTGCATCACTCTGTAGTGGTTAAGTGCTTGTTTTTTTGGTTTGGTTTTAGATGGGGCTATGTGTACGGACAAAGATAAAGCAAGAAAGAGAGGGCTAGAAGGGGGATGCGTTTCCGTATTAAAATAGAGTGGTCTGGGAAAGCTGGTGAGAAGCTGACATTGGTTCTAGTTCAGTAAGTCTCATTTAATCTTCACAACAACCTTATGAGAGAGGGAGGCACTATTATTAATTAAAAAAAAAAGTGAAGTTAGGCAACTGAGGAAAAATGTGCTAGATTAAACCACAAACTGGTACAGTTGACTGATCAGGGAACACATTTATATTTTCCTGTGAATGAGGGAAGACTACATAGGTGGCCATATACTTAGCAGAAAGGCAGACAGACAGACAGTAAGGGTGAAAATAGAAATGGAGACTAGGCTGCCTTTAACAGTAGCCTTTTTAGTCTTTGTCAGGGGTCAGAGGATGTCCTTGTTGTCATCAGGACTTGAAATTGTCATCAAGTAATCTCTGGTTTCCACCATCTACCTGTCAGTTTGTCGTACTGTGGTAGCTTGTATGTTGCTGTGACGCTAGAAGCTATGCCACCAGTAGTTCAGATACCAGCAGGGTCACCCATGGTGAACAAGGTTTTGGCAGAGCTTCCAGACTAAGACAGACTAGGAAGAAAGGCCAGGCAATCTACTTTTAGAAATTAGCCAGTGAAAACCCTATGGATCACAACAGAATATTTCTGATATAGTACTGGAAGATGGGCTCTGTCTTAGTCATCTAGTGCTGTTATAACAGAAATACCACAAGTTGATGGCTTTAACAAAGAGAAGTTTATTCTCTCACAGTCCAGTAGGCTAGAAACCCAGATTCAGGGCATCAGCTCCAGGGGAAGGCTTTCTCTCTCTTTCAGCTCTGGAGGAAGGTCCTTGTGATGCATCAATCTTCCCTTGGTCTGGGAGCATCTCAGTGCAGGAACCTCAGGTCCAAAGGACGCACTCTGCTCCCAGCACTGCTTTCTCCGTGGTATGAGGTTCCCACGTGTCTCTGCTCACTCTCTCTTTCATACCTCAAAAGAGATTGGCTTAAGACACTACCTAATCTTGTAGACCTCATCAATATAACTGCCAGTAATCCATCTTATTACATTATAGTGATAGCATTTACAACACATAGGGAAATCACATCAGATGATAAAATGGTAGACAATCATACAGTACTGGGAATCGTGACCTAGCCAATTGTCAGATATTTTGGGGGGACACAATTCAATACATGACAGGCCCCCTAGGTTGGAAGACTCTCAAAATTCACAGTGGCTGCAACAATGGACTCGAACATACCAAATATCGTGAAGATGGCACAGGACTGGTCAATGGTTCATTCTATTGTACACAGGGTTGCCATGAGTTGGTGCCATCTTGACAGCAACCAGTAACAATAACAAAAATCTCTGGTTTGTCTTGTTCAGAGTTTTCAAGAATTAAGCAAGGGAAAAGGAATCTGTTTGAAGGACAGGGAGTACATTATAGTTAACTGAAAGAAAAGCTAAAGAACCAGGCTTTGAAAGAAGACAAGCACCCAGGCAGCAGCTGGGAATCTGGTAGCATTGGCTGGATAAATGAATACCCACTGCTTTCACCCTTTGAGTTATTCCTGCCAAGGTTCAAATTCCAGGCAAAGAGCATCTTTGGCTTAGTAGGGTCATTTGTCCACCACTTGTCAGGCAAGGATGTAGCATCTTTATTGACAGTCCCACTAACACAAGATATAATGGGAAAGGGGCAATTCCTGGAAGTGAAGCTAAGTGGGGTGCTATTACCAAAACAAGGGGGCTTTATTGCTGGGCAGGCAAACAAACAGCTGTGGGCCACAGGTTTGTCTGTAAGGTTGTTGCAGTTCATCTGTCATTGAAACTCTCATTTGTCTGTGTGGTAGGAAAAATTCTAAGACGGCCTTCAGGCCCCTAGGATTTCCACCCCCTGATGCACATGCCCTGCATAATCCTCTCTCCTTGAGTGTAGGTGGAATCTGTGGATATGATGGGATATCACTCTCATAACTAGGTTCTTAAACATTTGACTTTGGGTTAATTAAAAGGGAGGTTATCCTGGGGGGCCTGACCTAATCAGGCAAGTCCTTTAGAAGGTGGAAAAGTCAGAGTGGCCTGCTCCTGCTGATCCTGAAGAAGATGAAAGCTTCTATGAGATCTGTAGCTGCAAGGAACTGAATTCAGCCAACAACCTGAATGAGCCTGGAAGAGGACCCTGAGCATCAAATGAGATTGCAGCTCTGACAGATACCTTAATTGCAACCTTGTGAGACTTCAGCAGAGGATTCGGCTAACCTGTGCCTGGATACCTGACTCACAGAAACTGTGAGATAGGAAATTTGTGTTAAGCAGCTAAATGTGTGGTAATTTGTAACACAGTAATTGAAAATGAATACATTTTACTACCTTTATACAATGTTTCTGACATATCTGTTAAAGTAATAGTGTTTTCAAGAATAGCAAATGGGGGAGGTTCCTGGAGAACCAAGGCAGAGGGGGCTTACCTAGGTCCAAGACACAGCAGAAATTATCATTTGAGATAAGACAAGCAGTTCCTCAGCTGCTTGCTGTTTGGGATTTAGAGATGGGGAACAGGGAGAAAGCTCACCGGATTTTTCTGGAAGTAGAGAACTTTCTTTCATATTTAACATTTTGGGTGAATTGATTAGATAACGGTTCATTCTCAATACTTAAGAGGATCTGAGAGCTACTGCACCCAACTCAGTTTAGAAATTTGAAAAATTGGGTCCAAAGGCAGGTTAGATGGACTTTTGTTACTTTACTTGAACAGCATTAAGGCACTAGAGGATGGCAAAGGTAGTGTCTAGGTGGGGTACCCGAGATAAAGACATGCAGAGCAGCAGAGGGAGGTGATTGTTACAAGCCTGCTAAATTCTGGGAACCAGTAGGTAACAACATTGTCCAAGAAATGGTGCCATCGAGTTGATTCCAACTCATAGCGACCCAATGTGACAGAGTAGAACTGCCCCCATAGGGTTTCCAGGGCTTAATGGAAGCAGCTCTCCAGGTCTTTCTCCCTTGGAGCTGCTGCGTGGGTTTGAACCTCCCGGCTCTTACCCATTGCACCAGCAGGACTCCTTGTCAAAGAAATGGGAGGGAGCATATCTATGCATTTAAAAAACCTTAACATTTTTCTTTTATTCCTGCCTGTTTCAGCTAATACTGCTGTGTAAAAAACCACTCCAAAGTTAACGGTGTAAAGGAGCAACCATTTAATTATGCTCATGGATCCTGTGGGTCAGGGATTCAGAAAGGGCACAGTGGGGAGGGATTCTGTCTGCTCCCTAAAGTCTGGAGCCAAACTTTCTGGCACTGTCTAACAGGATCCCCATTTTTCCAGCTTCCAGTAACATTTTTCTCAGTGTCCTTTAAGCCTTCACTGACAGCCTCCGTAAGGCCTTTTAGACTTTTGCTAACATTCTCCTTTAGGCTCCATTCCTTGCCTTGATGGTCCACCTAGTCCCAGAGCCAATGCTTTATGTTTGTTATGGCAGCATTCCACTTCCAGGTAACAAAATTTGCTTCAGTTATTATTGCTATGTAATAAATGGTTACTATTACTATGTAATCAACAGTCAGTGGTAGAAAATAACAAAGAAAAAAAAAAGCCCCAATCTACATAATAAAACCTAGGAATCCAAGCTAGTTATAGGAGTGGGGAGATGGGAGATGACTGATCATGGAGGATAAGGTTGGCCAACTGGGAGATACTGAAGTTGTCCTGAACTGTGAGGATATCCTCCCAGCCACTGCTGGGTTTCTTTGGGCTTTTACTGGCAGGGCTGTGGCATGAAGCCTTCAGTACAAGAGCTGATGAACTGCCCTCTGGTATATTTGACAAGAGATAGTTTCTGAAAGGTTAAGTCAGCTGTTCAAGGGTGAAATATAAACCCAGATTTTCTTGGTTCCAGAACACTTGCTCTTCACTTCTACGCTACTGATGTTTATCTTTTCTTGACTTATTGTTGTTATGTGCTGTCGAGTAGACGACCCTATATGATGAGTAGGAATGCCCCATAGGGTTTCCAAGGAGCAGCAGGTGGATTTGAACTGCCGACCTTTCGGTTAGCAGCCTGAGATCTTAAACACTTCACCACCACGGCTTCTTTCTTGACTTAGACATAAGTTTTTTTAGTCAAACGCTTATTTTAATATATATTCCTTTTCAAATCTAAAATTCTATTTTTACAGATAACTATGAGTCAGAACCAACTCTGCAGCACCAAACAACTTAACAGTCCTAGATCCTAGATGGTAAAAGAAAGGCCACCTACAATTTCATTCTCCCCACTGCAAGGCTGACTCCAACCTCCCATACACAATTCCGGCAGAACCCTAGTTTTCTGTAGTCTATAGAGAGGCTGCAAAGATTAAATGAAATTAAGCTCTCAACTGACACCTCAATCCACAAGGACGGCGCAGGAACAGGCAGCGTTTTACCCCCTTGTGCATGGGGTAGCCATGAGCTGGGAGCCGACTCCACTGCAGCTAAACAACTTTCATTCATTTCATTCCACAGTATCAGTCGGCCAATCACGTCCATCAGATAAAGTCACATCCTGTGGGCTCCTGGAGGAGCAGGTCGGGAAGAGAAAGCAATGGCGCCTGCGCAGCTGAGGACGCGGGGAACACGTGAAGCCTGTGCTGCACCTCAGCGGCCAGGTGAGCGGCCCTGAGGCACAGGGCGGAGTTAGAACAGCACTTGAGCACCCGCTTCCGGCCACGTGATCACGCGCGTGACCAATGGGAAAACGTGACGTCCCTCTCTTCGCTTCCTCACCCTGGCAACCGACGGGTGACTACTTCCGGTGCTGTGAGGGATCCGGGCTGAAGCGGGTGAGTGTCCCTGTTTCTCACGCTGTCCGCGCCTTTGCCGCCTCTTGGCAGCTCCGTCCGTCCGGGCCGGTACAGCTGCCAGGACATCCTATCCGGGGCCAGAAGGGGCGGCGCGCAGGACGCCCCCTGCTCGGGGCGGAGTTGGGGAAACGGGCCCGGGATGTCCCTGGTCCCCAAGTCTTGTTCGCGCGTGGGGCCCGCGGCGGCCCGTTTCCCACCCTTGCGTCAGGGCTGGTGACTTCTCCTCTCCGGAAACGGGGGAAGGACTGTGTGTGTGTAGCCTTGCGGCTCTTCACCCACGTTGCAGTCGTGGGTTGGGGGTGTCGCCGGCCCCCAGGCTGGCAGAGACGCGAGGGTGTGCGCGTTACTCCTGGGTGGTCGGTTGGGGGCAAGGAAGCCCTGTTGTGCAATAGAATCCTGGTTAGAGTCCGGAGGAACATTAACATTTAGTGCTCAGGCAGAGGAGGAGGATAGGACTGTAAGATGGAGAAGGAGCAACTGGAAAGGAGGGTGGGGAACAGGAGCTGGAGGATCACTGGAATTGGAGGGCATCATAATTTCAGGAAGCAGAGAGTTCAGCTTGATTCACATCTCTACGGGAGGGTAAAGAAAAGGTGTTTTGGGGACCATTTGACTTAGATCCTTGAATACTAAGCTAAGGACTTTTTATTTATACACGTGGGAGTTTAATTATATCCCTTTTTGTTTGCTTTAAATTCAGCCTCTCCCACCCCTTACAAAAAGTAGTGCATGCTTTTTAAGTAATAACTGGAAAATGCAGAAATATTTGAAAGGAGACCACCAACCAGTAGTTCTACCAACCTAACGTTTTGATCTGTTTCCTTCTAATTTTTTTTGTAGCATATTCTTACCCTACTTAATATCATAGTGTGTGTGTAATGAATGTATAACTAAAAAGGATAATTTGTGTACACCACATCCATGTGTGGATAGATCATTGTTTTCTTTCATTAAGTTGAGCTATAACTCATATACCACAAGAGTCACCCGTTTGATATGTACTCTTCAATGCTTGTGCCGTCATCAACTATTTTCAGAACATTTTCATCACCCAAAAAGAAACCTTGTGTCCATTAGAGTCATTTCCCATTCACTCCCCAGTTGCTGGCAACCACTAATCTACTTTCTCTTTCTACGGATTTGTGTATTTTGGACATTTCTTGTAAATGGAATGATACAATATGTGACCTTTTGTGCATGGCTTCTTTCACCTAGCATAATGTTTTGAAGATTCATCCATGCTGTAGTACGTATCTGTACTTCATTCCTTTTTATTGCGGAATAACATTCCATTATGTGGATATACCACGTTTTGTTTATCCATTCATCCACGGGTGGACATTTGGGTTGTTTCCACCTTTTAGATATTATGAGTAATGCTGCTATGAACATCTGTATACAAGTTTTTGTGTGGCTATGTGTTTTCAGTTCTCTTGGGTGTATACCTACGAGTAGAATTGCTTAGCCATATGGTTATTCTGTGTTAACTTTTTATTCTCCTTTTATTTATTTTGTTGTTGAGTAGATACACAGAAAAACATATACTAATTTAACAGTTTCTACGTGTACAGTTTAGTGACATTGATTACATTCTTTGGCTTTTTCAACCATTCTCACCCTCCTTTTCTGAGTTGCTCTGTCATTAACATACACTCACTGTCCCCCAAGGTTCCTATCTAATCTTTCGAGCTGTTGTCAATTTTATTCCATAGGGATATTTCTTAAAAGAGCATAATGCTCAAGGCCGACTTTTTTTATTAGTTAAGCTCAACTGTTGTTCAGTTTTAAGATGACTTCAGGGGATATTTTTGGATTAATGTTTAAAGATGATCTTGCAGCAATAGTTTCAGGGGTTCATCCATCCTCCATGACTCCAGAAAGTCTAAAGTCCATGAGAACTTGAAATTCTGTTCTGCATTTTCTATCTCTGAAACCTCAAAAGTCCTAGCTCTACCCTTGAACGCTTCAAAGGCCGTGGCCACACCCTTTGAAACTGAGGCATCTCTGCTTCCTGTGCTGTTTCCAACAGTTCTGCTGAACTGATCTCCCAGATGCTCCAGGGATGGTTCTTTTTTTTGATTTCCTTGGTGAACATTCTAGTTCATATATGTCCTTAGTTTGTACAACAGAATTTTCCAAATCTTTAAGTTTTGTTTTCATTTTGCACAGTCCATCTCTTTCCTCTTGCATTTTACTATAAACAGCAAGGAGAAACCACGCGGCCTGTTTAAGATCTTGCTTGGTAATCTCCTCAGCCAGATATCCAAGTTCATCACTCCCAGGTTCTGCCTTCCACTCAACATTTGAAAATAATTCAGACAAGTTCTTTGCCACTGCATAAAAAGCATCGCCCTTCCTCCATTGTCCAATCACATGTTCATCACTTTCTTTTAAAGCCTCACCTGGAGCGCATTTAACGTCCACATTTCTAGCAGCATTCTGTTGCTGGTGCCATAGGTATTCTCTAAGATGATACTCTCTGTAGCTCTCCTTACTTCCTTCTGAGCCCTCACCAGAATTACCTTTGACATCCATACTTCTACCAACAGTCTCTTCAAGGCAATCCAGGCTTTTACTATTAAAAAGCAAACCAAACCCATCGCCATTGAGTTGATTCTGACTCACAGCTTCTACACATTACCACACTTCAACATTTTTATTTCTCAGAGTTTAGGAGGTTAGAAGTCAGAATTCAGAGCACTGACTCTAGGGGAAAGCTTTCTGTCTGTTGGCTCTGGAGGAAGGTCCTTGTCTCTTCTGAGCTTTTGCTCCTTGGCAATCTTCATGTGGCTTGGCATTTCTCTTTCCGCATCTCTGCTTACTAGTTTGGGTTTAATCCCTTTTATATCTCAAAAGAGATTAACTTAAGACACACCCTATACTAATCCTGTCTTATTAACATAACAAAGACAACCCATTCCCAAATGGGATTATAACTATAGGCATAGAGGTTAGGATTTACACCACATATTTGTGGCGGACACAATTCAATCCATAACAGCTGCTTCCCCTTTAGAGATGAGCAGACCCCTCTCCATGACTCCTTTTTGCACCTTTGAGAAGGCTGATTGATTCTTCATTTGACAAAGGTTTGATGAATGCTGATTGTGTACTGTACGGCACTGTTCTAGGTGCTTGGATACGTCAGTGAACAAAACAGACAAAAGTCCCTGCCCTCATGGAGCTTATGTTCTAGTTAGGAGAGACTGGCAATAAACAATAAATTTAAGGAAAAAACAAAGTTTATAGTGTATCATTCAGGGTTCTCCAGAGAAACAGAACCAATAGAATATATATATGTATGCATACATATATATATGTATACATATAGACACACAAGTTTCCCCCACTATCTGAAAGTAGAATGTTCCTGTGATACCTTTTATAAGCCGAAATGGCATAAAGCAAAGAATCAGTTACCATTAATTTATACGAAAACATTTCTGAGCATTTCCAGACCCAAAAAATGACCTCCCCAAAACCTAAAATAACACTAAACAAAAAAGAAAAAAAACAAAACAAAACCCCAAACCCATTGCCATCAAGTCGATTCTGACTCATAGCGACCGTATAGGACAGAGTAGAACTGCCCCATAGAGTTTCCAAGGAGTGGCTGGTGAATTTGAACTCCTGACCTTTTGGGTAGCATCCGAGCTGTTAACCACTGCACTACCACCAGCGCTCCATAAAAATAACACTAACGTATAGTAAAAGTGGGAATGATATGGTAAATAGTCTATATAAAGCAGAAATAATGAATAATGTATGTACAGCATAGTTTCACAGACAGAGTTCAAAGCTGTGACGACTTGATGCTGAGATGCTGAGTGTAGTTTCCAGGGAAGGAGCTTGGCGACATCACTCTTGCTGCTAAGGGTGTGTGCTGCCTCTTTAACAGCTCCCTGCAAAACAAAACTGCTGAATGCTATTTCTGAATTTCGCCTTTTTTTGTAAAAGCGAAACCCCTCTTCGGATTTCTTTTGGTTAGCGAAAACATTAGTAGGTCTTTTGTAAAAGCAAAGTGGCATAAAGCAAACTTTCAAAAAGCAGAGGATACCACTTTTGTAATGTACCAAAAAAACTGAATTTTTGATTCAATCAGTTCCAACTCATAACAACCCTATAGGACTGCCATAGGGTTTCCAAGGAGCAGCTAGTGGATTTGAACTGTCCACCTTTTGGTTAGCAGCCGAGTTCTTAACTACTGTACCACCAGGGCTCCGTATAATACATACATACACACACACACACACACACACACACACACACACACACACACACGAT